CGCTTCCTGCAATGACGTGTGACTCTCTGGGCGTTTTCGCCATGGTGCGGGGGGGTCTGCTTTTGGGGCTGGGACGCTGTTTTTTTTTTTTCACCTGTCGCAGATAATTTTACATTTTAAAAAAATATAAAAATAAAAATGGGAGGGGAGAATTTGGTTGAGATTGTCTCTCCCCTGCCAGTGAAGGAAGCTCCTCCACTGCGGGAGAAGGACGGTGATCAATCCATTTCCGGAGGGCCCCCAAGATTTTCAGGTTATTGGATTTGCACATTTTAATCAGAAGGGGCACCTCACGAGTGCTCCGCATTGTACTGCTACCAGGACACCATTTGGAATGATGGTCGTACCTGTGGCAGAGGTGTGAAAAGCAATTTCATCAACTTTGGCGGTGTGCCCCTCAATTTTCTGGGACCAGATGGACATGGCATCTGGCTCCCCATTATGACCTGTGCCGCTGCAGGGTGTTTTCTCGTATTTTCTTGGGGAGGCTGGTGGGGGCGGGTCATCCGTCTCCCCGGCAGAGCAGCAGAGGTCAGGCTGTTGTTGCACATTTACTGACAATCATTGTACATGGGGTGCCTCATGCACCGAAAGCTAGTGAGACGGGGATCTGGGTACTACGGTCAATGACGCAAGTTGTCGTAAGCTCAACGTGCCCGGGGCTCGTCCGTTCTAAGATCCGTTGAGCAACCATCGTCCTGTTGGAAGGTTGTGGGCACGGGTTTTGGATTCCTTTCTCTTTCGCTCCCCCTTCGTTGCTGGTTCAGAACCTTTGGTCAGTCTGGGTTTTTCCTGCATGTGGTCGACAACTCTTGTCAGGGAGGTGTCTCTGGGTCGCATGGCCGGTACCTTTAGCGACCCCCCTTTTACTGGACGGGCTAGTCTCCCCCTTGGGCGTGGGGCCAAGGAGGAGCAAGGGAAATACTGTTAGATTCTTTGTTTTGTCAGGCATTTGTGGGGTGCGTGAGGGCATCTCTTCGGGACGTTGGGGCATCGAGATTGATTCTGTGGCGGGTTTAGGCCTCTTGCCTCGCATCCGGTTCGCGGCTTACGGCGGGACGTGGCTGGCCCTAGGGTTTTTATAAGATCCGTCTGCGTGACATCCGGGGTTGCCGGAACCCGGCGCTTCATTCGGGTGTCACTGGCTCTGCGGGATGATATGGTGGTCTGGGGCTCCGTCCAGGCCGCGTATGATGGCAGGTCCTACTGGCAGGTGCCTGAGGTCTCTAACTCTGTCATACACCTCTTCCTGAGGTGTGGTTTGGTTGGGCTTGGGGTGAATCTGTGCCCTAGCTTGTGTGCTGTCTGTTGGCCGGACGGTTAGCATGTCTCTGGCCTCGCAAGGAATGGGCATCAGGTATCCTGGATCTCTTCCCCATGCTGGTGGCGCTAGGAGGTCCCAGTTTCAGGATAAATAGAGTGTTTTTTCGCTGCGCACTCTGAGGGGAGGTTTAAGCTGTCAATCGTCCGGCGGCCTCCTCCCCTCCAGTAGGTGGCTTGCTGCGGCATTTTGGGGCTCTGATGCTTATGTCTAAATGTGTCTTGGGGGGCAGAGCATATTCCTGGCATTCACGTTGTTGTGGTGGATACTCTCCCTCGTTCGCGATGGTTGGGTTTTTCAGGCCGTCGGCCCATGGGCGGAGCTGGATAGGACTCCATGCCCTGTGGAGATGTGATTGCTTGGTCTGGCAGATTGCGGGATTTGTCCGTGAGTCAGTCTCTCTGGCCTCGTTGACCCGGTATAGTTAGGCATGAACATGGTTTCTGTGGTGTAATGGTTGTCACGTACGCCTAACAGGGAAATAGCTTTGCGTTTGTTCTGGTGGGAGCACGCTCCAGGGGGGTTTTGATGTCGGGAAAGTCGGGCTACACTATGCTCCTGACAAGATTGGGTGGGGTTCCCCCTCTGGTCTTGTACCTATTTCGAGTTCTGTTTTCTTTGCATTGGCCTATTCCATGGAATTCGTTGGGGCCATGCGTGTTGGGGAATTGGTGATTCCTAGTAGGCCATGCATTGGTGGGGTATTGTTTTCCGCCGTTCGGCGCTCTGCGGATCATATCACTATACGTATTTGACAATCAAGGTGGGATGTTTTTGGGAAGGGTATGGGGGTTCGGCTGTTACACTTTTCCTTTGTGGAGAACTGTGAGCTGCGCCCAGTATGCACTGGCCCTCTTTTGGG